AACATGCCAGGGTACTGGGGAGGTAGGGCTCACAGAAAGTGACGGTTTGCCAGTCTGAAATTCCTAAACCTTTGGGAACAAGAACGGCTCAAATCTACCGAACACTTGCCTTAAATCAGGCCTGCTCTAAGCACTCCCCACCCATTAACTGATTTGATCTTCAGTCATCTTATAATTACAATAAAAATAATAATATTATCCCTTTTTTACAGATGAGAAAACAGAGGCGCAGAAGCCTGAGTAAGTTACCCAAGGTTATTCAGCTGGCATGAGGCAGAGTCAGGATTCTAACACAGGCGGTCAGCACGAATCCATGTCACTAACATATACAGCTGTGACGCTATGATGTCTCTCTGGGATGGCAATGTTGGGGTTTCCTAGTAGTACATAGATGCATTCACTATTCTTTCTCCATAGATTTTTTTTTTAAATCATTTATTTATTTATACTTTTTTTGTCGAGGTGAAATTCACATAACCTACGATTAATCATTTTAAAGTGCACAATTCCGTGGCATTTAGTGCACTCACAATGTTGTACAACCACCACCTCTCTCTAGTTTCAATACTTTTTCATCACTCCAGGGCATTACCCCATAGCCATTAAGTAACCACATCCCATTCCGGCCTTCCTCTATCCACCAGCAATCACTAACTTGCTTCCTGTCCCTATGGATTTGCCTATTCTGGATATTTTATATAAAAGGAATCATACAATACTTGACCTTTTGTGTTTAGTTTCTTTTACTTAGCATGTTCTCAAGGTTCATCTATATTGTAGCATGTATCACTACTTAATTCCTTTTTATGGCTGAATAATATTCCATTGTCTGTGTAGACCCCAATTTGTTTATCCATTCATCTGTTGATGACATTTGGGTTGTTTCCACCTTTTGACTATTGTGAATAGTCCTCCTATGAACGTTCATGAATAAGTATTTGTTTGAGTACCTGTTTCAGTTCTTTTGGGTATATACCTACGAGGAGAATTGTTGAGTAATATGGTAACACTATGTTTAACTTTTTGAGGAACCGTCAAACTGTATTCCACAGTGGCTGCACTATTTTACATTCCCATCAATGTCTGAAAGTTCCTGTTTCTCCACATTCTCTCTAACACTTGTTATTTTCTTTCTTTTTTTTCCATTATTATAGCCATCCTAGCGGGTTTGAAGTGGTATCTCATTGCAGCTTTGATTTGCATTAGTGATCAATGATGTTGAACATCTTTTCATGTGATTATTGGCCATTCGTATATCTTGTTTGGAGAAATGGAGATTTGAATGGAGAAATTCAAGTCTTCTGCCCATTTTTTATATTGGGTTGTTTTATTTTTTGTAGTCAAGTTGTAAGAATTCTTTATATATTCTGGATATTCAACCCTTATCAGATACATGATTTGCAAATATTTTCTCTCATTCTGCAGGTTGCCTTTTTACTTTCTTGATAATGTCCTTTGATGCACAAAAGTTTTAAATTTTTATGAAGTCCAGTTTATCTATTTTTTCTTCTATTGCTTATGCTTTTGGTGTTAAATCTAAGAATCTATTGCCAAAATGAGCTCATGAATCTATACCCCTCTGGTTTCTTCTAATGGTTTTAGTTTTGGCTCTTATATTTAGGTTTTTTATCCGCTCCCATAGTTTTAAAGAGGATCTAATACAGGCCTCATTAGAGGAGGCTAGGGAGACTTCAACAGAACCAAGCCACTTCCGGTGAAAGCAATGTGGGTGCAGAGAATCATGATGAGGGGGGTGTGTGTGCGTGCATGCTTTAATAACATGTGCTGGGCTTTTCCAGACCATCTCAGCACAGATGGGACAGGCTCTAGGCAAGCCTGCTGCCTTCACACCTCTCTCTGAACAGAGGTAGGGATAAGGAATTCTGCTCTGCATCCCCAGATGTGCCATTTCTACCCAAGAGGCCATGCAGCCAAATCTCTGGCCGGGCAGAAGAAGAGGCAGAATTCAAGGATTCCATTCTCCGCCTCTCACTCACACTCTCTTGCTGGGTGACTCTAGAGAAGGAAAAAGATAACTTGCCTCAGTGTCCAATCCCAGGGAGCTAGGACTGGATGAACCTGAGAGGGTGACCTGCATTGCTTGAAACGAGATACAAGAAAGAGGCAACAGCAAAACATCCCAACTGCAGAAACCACGCTCACCCAGCAGTCTCTGGCCAGAGTGAATTAAGCTACTGTGTATCCAAGACTTCTGTTGTCAAAGATGAGTCTCTGCATGAAAGGAAGACCTCTAGTTCTTCATTAATTCCTTCATTCATTTTTGTATTCATTCCTTTGTTCATCAAGTACTTATTCAGCAGCTACTGTGTGTCTGGCATGGTGCTAGACACTAGGATTCATTGATTATCATAAAGTAAAAACATGCACCTTGCCTGCATGGAGACTATGGCCTGATAGGGAGTCAGAGAATATAACAAACAAGCTAACAAACTAACAAGATCACGTCAGAATGGGAGAAGTGCTATGGAGAAAGGAAGCAGGTTGAGGAGGTCGCATTTCAGGTGAGGTGGAAGGATAAGAAGGAGCTAAGCAAGCAAAGAACATTCCAGGGAAAAGAAATAGCACATGGAGAGGCTCTGAGTGGGGACAGAGGTCTTGGGGAGGGTGGAGCCCATGGCAGGGTCCAGTGCGCGTAAGTCTCTGTGGGCCAAGGTGAGGAGTTAGCTTGGATTTTATTTTAAATGGAGTGGGCAATCAGTGAAGGGCTTTTCAACCAGGGGACAAAGTGCTCTGACACTCCATCAGCTGGCTGGAGAACAAGTTGTGTTGAATGAGTTTTGGAAAAGAACTTCCATTCACAGAGGTCTTGTGTCCCATCTGAGCACATTCTTCAAGTTGCCTAAACTCCTCTCTACAAGAGAACTCAGCCCCAACGACCCAGAAATAAATGAAGTCAGACCACGGAAGAAAGAAATGGAGTAAAACAAGAGACAATTAGAGTCAATTAGGAAGCCCTTAGTATAGAGGGGTGGACAGCCACTCTTACTGCTGCAACATGCTGGCTTTTGGATGAGTCTGGTCCTCTCAGGGACTCTGGTCCTTGAGAATAAACTGGGCACTTTGGGGGTTACAGGAGTGGTGTTTCCTATTTGGCCTAGAGCTGATCTTGGGCTCCTGGGGAAGGGCCTTCAGGTGCCTAGCTAGGGAAGGAAGCAGTTGATGGGCAGTGGTGGAGGTAGCATGGTGCAGGGGACCAAGCCCTGGGTTTTAGTTCTTGGCCATCAATTCACTGTGTGACCTTGGGCACGTAACTTCCCCTATTGAGCCTCTTTCTGCAAAATGAATTGGTGAACCAAAGATCCTCAAAGGCACTTTCTAGCTTGGACATTCTATGCTTTTATAGTGTCAATACACCCACACTTGTTTCATTCCCCTGTTCTAGGTGGATTAAGAAAGTGAGTGGCTGATGGTGATTGGTGAGTGGCTGATGCCCTGCACCGTTAGATTAATAGACCTAGGGAAGATGTAGGGAAGTTACCTGGTCTAGCCTCCTGCCTCCAGGTAAGCCAGGCTTAGAGCATTCCAAGCAGATAGATGTCTCTCAGGCTTCTAAAGAATCCTGGGAGCCTGGGGAGCATGGAGGGCCACACATGACCCCTTTCTATTTCTCTGCCCTCTATCTTACATCATCCATCTTTGCAGAAGATAGTCATCAAAGCCACTCTCCTCTTTCCTGCTAACATTCTGGATCTTTCTAAACTACAGTCATTGAGCGAAATCAGTAAGGATATGCTGAGGGTTGCCTACTTGGCTTTCATGAGAGTTCCCACTGATTCTTCAGAGGATGAAAGAAGGCAAGACTGGTCTTCCCCTTTAAGGGAGACCTCCTAACCTACACTAACCCCTTATAACCTGGCAACAGAGGTCATTCCAGTGGAATAAATAAAGGGCTAGAATAAAATACTTAATTTCACAATAAGGACATAGAAGCCTAGAGAGGTGAAAAGAGTTGCTCACAGTCTCATGGCTGGTGAATGGTAATTCTGGGATTTGAATTCAGTGTTGAAGCTATCTTGTGTCCACTCTCAATTCTTACTGCTCGAGTATGGAATAGGAGACTGTGCACAATGGAACCTGAAGATCAAGGTAAGCAGTGGGCTCTCTCTTCTGCAGATCTTTGAGAAAGTCAGAGATTCTCCTCTGTCTGAAAAAGGATCTAGAAAGGGAGAGGGAGGATAATATGGTCTCCAGTGGGCTCATCCTTCTAAGGGACCCCTATTTTGTGACAGGGTGAGAACTCTTGGCTTCCCTCCAGCAGGAATGGTCTTCTGTCTCAGTGGATGTAGAGAGCAGGCTGCCCTCCTGGCAACCTTGGATGTGGCAGGGCGCTTTACTGCAAACACAGCCATGCCTCAGGTTTCTGAAACTCAGCACCCCCCAAATACACACGCATATCACCATTGCCATTACTATCATGGTCATTGTCACCATCAACAGCCAAGTCCCATGCAGAGGAGGTATGGGGCTGTGTGGATGGACCGTGTGGTCGTAGTCTCATACTGAACAGGAGTGGCTAGGCAGCAGGGCCAGCTTGGAAGACCTTAAGGAGAGGCTGGAGATCAGCTGGCAGGAGGGTGGGAGTCAGGAGAAGACCAGGAGGTGAGAGAGAGTGGGAGCGGAGGAGAAGGCTACAGTGCATAAATCCTGTATTAGGTTCCTGGGGCGGCCGTAACAAATGACCGCAAATGTGATGGCTTAAAACAAAAGCAATGTATTCTCTCACAGTTCTGGAGACTAGAAATCTGAAATCAAAGTGTTGACAGGGCCGCACACCCTCTGAAGGCTCTAGGGAGGAATCCTTCCTGCCTCTTCCTGGCTTCCGGTGTCTCCTGGCAATCCTTGGCAATCCTTGGCCATCCTTGGCTCGTAGCTGCATCTCTCCAATCTCTTCCTCCATCATTACAGGGCCTTCTTCCCTCTGTGTCTTCACGTGGCCTTCTGATAAGGCCACCAGTCATTGGATTTGGGGCCCAATCTAATTTAGCTAATTACATCTGCAAAGACCCTTTTCCAATTAAGATCACATTCTGATGTTCCGGGTAGACATGAGTTTTGGGGGACACTATTCAACCCAGTGTGAGTACTTTCCGGGCCCTCTAGCTAACTTGAGACAGAGGGCAGAGGCCACCTCCCAGCCAGCAGGAGAGGACGAAACCACAGTAGCAGCAGCTTGAACAAACTCTCAGAGGGGAGCACGGTGGTCAGGGTGGAGAGCAAACAATTTGCAGGGTAGCAGTGTGGTGTGACAGAACTCTGGCTCCCTAAACCACAGCTTCTTTCGAGTGAGTTTACGGAGTGGTAAACGCTGCCTGAGAGCCGGGAAACTGTGCAGAATGGAGGCGGGGCAATGGGGTGACCAGGCCATCTTTGAAAGCAGCCTTTGGTTTCTTGTCCTGCTTTAATTTTTTATTTGTTAGCATTTTTATTGAGATAAGACATACATACTGTAGAGTGCGCAAAGTGTGCTAATCTTTATACAGCTTGGCGAATGTTTACATAGGTGTGTTCCCCTGTGAGCATCATCCAGATGAAGAAATAGCATATTTCCAGCACCCCCGCAGGGTTCCCTGTGTCAGGGCCAGCTTTCCGTGTTTAGAGGGGCTCCACACTTGGTTTAATGCTGTGTTGTCGCTGTCTTGAAATTCTTAACAATTTTTGAACACAGGGCCTTGAATTTTCATTTTGCACTGGACCCAGGTAATCCCCACTCTCTTCTTTCCACTGGCACAAATCTTTCAAAGTTCAACTCAACTTTCAACTTTCCTCCTCCAGGAAGCTCTCCTTGACCCCTTCCCACTCTCCAGATAATCTCCTCTCCTCCGTTTCCCTAGGTTTTGTGGCCTGTACACACCAATCGGTACTTAGTCACACTAATTACACTCTGCCCTTGCCGGTCTCTCATTTTTCTGTGCCTGGAAGTTTGTCTCTCCCGTCTGGTTATGAACTGACTGGAGCCTGGAGAGACGCCCTTTCAGCCAGGCACTGTAACGTGGGACAGCGAGGGTAATCCATGTGCATGTTTCATCTTTTCTTCCCAACTGCAAGTGCCTTTATCCTGGTGCCCCACGGCACACCAAGCCCAGGGGCTCTTTCAAGTGGCAATTCAATAAACTGTAGCTGGCCTTTTTCTGCTGTCCCTCCCTGTCTGTCTCTGAGCAGGGGGCTTTGCTCCACCCCAGGATTCTAGAGTGTTAAGGCAAGAAGGGATCTGATAACTCCTCTGGTCAAATCCGTCTTTGGATGGAGAGGTCTCAGAGAGGTCTAGTGTCTTACTCAAGGGCACACAGCTCATGGGGGGCCCAGCAGGGAGTGTAGGACACTTTTGTTTGCAGTGGCCTCCACCCTTTCATTCTTTTTTTTGGACAGATGTAGAGCCTTCCTGAGACTGCAGGTGGGAGCGTAGCTTTTTCCCTGTCTGGAGCAGCTGACCGGATTCTCGCGGAGACCAGCAGTCCATCAACCCAGTTGGCTTCCGGCTTCCTCTGTGGAATGGCTCCCTGGAGCCCCCCTGAGAAGCTCCAGGAACCAGCTGCCCGTTGGCCACTTTATTAAACTGGTTTCCAGATGTCTCCACCTTAAATTGAGGAAGCAGGGGAAGGGTGAGGGGCTGGGAGTTTGTCCGTTAAATGAAGTCTGCTGGGTCCATAATAAATAACATTGCATGTTGATGGAGCAGGTGGTCTCCAGAGATGGGGTGACGCAGAGGATGTCCTCAGCGAGGCCACCTGTGGGGATGAGAAAGGCCGACAGACAGACCACAACAACTGGGGGCGAGGACAAGAGAGAAAAGATAGATGGACAGCCAATTGGAGACTGAGTGGCGGTAGGGGGAGACCACGCAATTGTGAGTGTGTCAGAGAGACAGGAGAGAGAAAGAAAAGGAAGCAGGAAGAGAGAGACAGGGACTGAGGGCCAAAACTTGCCATTGTGCTCACCTGCCAGGATCTGTCTCCTTCAGAACAGCTAATAAAGTCCACAGCCAGCCCTTGAGGACTTCTGTGCCAAGCCCTGCGCTGTGAGCTTTGTAGATATTGGCTCATTCATTCTTTGCAACAACCTCAGGAGGGAGCTGCTGAAATGGGATTATGCCCATTTCACCGACAAGGAAAGTGAGGCTCAGAGAACTCAGGGAACTCTCTCCAGGTCACACAGTGGCAGAGAAATCTAGTTCCCACACTTGCACTCTTAACCTCTCCACTCTCCTTGGTGGTAACATTTGAGGGAATCATCTTTCCAGGCTTGGCTCATCCCACAGCTAAGCACAGAAACTGTAGCTAGTTGGCACTACCTAACCCTAGCATCATCCTTACAGAGAATTTTGGATCTCTCTGAATATGAATGGGCACAGGTGGAGAGGACATAGAGCAAGAAATACAAACACATTCTCTTCTAAGCACTTATTTTGAAACATGTTGCATATTGCCAGTTGGACACACTTATTTTCCTCCATCTCAGGACTGAATCAATCAGCTTCAGTGACTCTCTTGCTTCCATCACTGTGACGGAGTATTTATACATATATGAGAAAGTTGGGTGTATTGGCTTCCTGGGGCTGCCATCACAAATTATCATAAAATTGGTGGCTGAAAACAACAGAAATCTATTCTCTCATGGTTCTAGAGGCCAGAAGTCTGAAGTAAAAGTGTTGGCAGGACCATGCCCCCTCTGGAAGCTCTGGGGAAGAATCCTTCCTTGTCCCTTCCTAGCTTTTGGTGGCTCCCAGCAGCCGTTGGTGTCCCTTGGCTTGTAGCTGTATCACTCCAGTCTCTGCCTTCATCATCACCTGGCTTTCGTCCTTGTGTCTCTGTATCCACGTGTCCTTCTTCTTATAAGGACAGCAGTCATTGAATTTAAGGCCCTCCCTAATCCAGCGTGACCTCATCTTAACTTGGTTACATCTGCAAAGATCCTATTTCTAAATAAGGTTACACTCACAGGTACTGGGGGTTAGGACTTGAATATAGCTTTTTGGGGGACACAATTCAACCCACTACAACGGGGATATACGGAATGGATAGGTGATAAAAACATGAGAACAAAAGCAAATTGCAAAGGATAGGTGTGTGACATATTAATGCTCACTCATTTCCCTCAAAATATGGAGTTTTAACCTAAGGTTGATTACTTTGGCCTAATCCTTGATTCCCCTCTTCACTCCCCAGGTGTTGCTACCTGCCCTCCACCACCTCCCGGATACCATCCCAGTGCTTTTAGAAAACCACTGGGCTTTGGAGTTGCGATGCTTCTAAAATTGTTTGAAATTTCCAAAGGGACACCATATTCAGGACAAAAATTCTGTTTTACCCAGAGAGGCAGAGCTGACTCTTATCTCTCAGCCTGAGTTCATTTCCTTGATCACAGCTACCTGCCCAGCAGGTATGTAAGGAATCTAGTGAAATGGCCTTAAAGTAAAATACAAGCCCCCACTGAATTATCAGTAGGGCCCTGTAGAACGGGATGCCCTGCGTGCCTGATGCACCATGGGTGCTGGGCTCAGGACGCTCTGCCCTCCAGGGACTCTGAAATCTGAGATAATCCTCCAACGTTAGTTAGGGCTCTTGGTCGCAAGCGTTATAAATACATTGGCAATAACTTTTTTCCCAGAGGGGATCTGCAGGCTCATGTTACTGGGGATTCCAAGCAGTAGTCTAGCTTCAGTTATAGCTGGACCCAGGAGTTCGTTGATGTCATCAAAACTCTCTCTCTCTCTCTCTGGCAGCAAAATGTCTCATGGATTCCAGGGAAAGAGAGTGCCTCGCACATTTCAGGAAAGGACTCTCTTAGTCCAGTCTAGATGCTACATCTATCACTGGCCAGGCTGGATCACTAGCAGCAACGGAGTAGCAAAGGAGCTCTAGCTACTGTAATAACAAACCCTGGAAATCTCAGTGGCTCAGCACAATAGAAGTTTACCTTCTAGTCATGTAAAGTCCAATCAGGAGAACATTCTCAAGTACACAGGCTGAGGCAGGCCCTGCCATCCTCAATATGTGGCTTCCAAGGTCATCAAGAGCATCAACATTCAACCGGCAGACAGGGGAAGAGAGACTGCACCAGCACGCAGGAGGCTTGTCTGTGGGCCAGTCCACATTTCATTGGCCAGAACTCAGTCACACGCATAGACTGTAACGTTGTCTGGGAAACGCAGTCTGGCGGCAAGCTTAGCAGGAAAGGAAATATGTTTGTTGAATGAATAGCCATTTCCACCACAAGTCGTAATGCGGGGCAGCAGTATCAGAGAATGAAGGAGGAGTGGCTTCCCAAATGAGGGGATTCCAAGCAGATTTTTAGAACATATCCTTTGAACTAACTCCCGGAATGTTTCACACATGTCTGATTTTGCTGCTCTTGGTTATGCTTGTATATGGTACACATACTATTGTCTATTGCAGTGTGACAACCTATCCTGAAACTTAATGGTTTACAACAAGAATTTTGTCATCTTTTTAAATATTTCTTGTATTTCATGGGTCAGGAGTTTGGGCAGGGGAATTCTTTCTCTTCACATGGTGGCAACGAGGGTCACTCAGTGGTATTCACCTGGCAGGTGGACGGGCTTGGAGGGTTCAGGAGGGCTCCACTCTTGTGTCTGGTGCCTTGGTGGGGATGGCTGGAAGGCTGGGCTCAGCAGGGCCCCTCTTCCTCTCCATGTAGTCTCAGGCCTCACCACGTGGTCTCTGCAGCAGGGGAATTAGGCTCTTTCCATGGTGGCTCAAGGCTCTGAGAGAGTGTTCTGAGAAACTGCGGAAGATGCTGTGAGCCTTCTCAAGGCCCAGCCTCTGAAGTCCTAAGGTGTCACTGCTGCCACATTCTATTGGTCAAGCAAGTCGTCAGCCAGTCCAGATTCCAGGGGAGGGGAATGAGACCTTCCTTCTCAGCTGTGGCCAGCTTTAATCAGCCACAGAGCCTTTCCAGCCAAGTGACTTTTTCATGTAGGATCTTTGAATTCGGGAACCTTCCCTTCTCTACGAGAGGCTGCAGGATGTGAGACTTTACTGCCAGCTGTCCGGGCCATTTAGCTCCTGGTGTTGCAGTGCCTGTCTTGAGCTGGGCCTCTAGAGACAGGATTCTAGACCCTGAAGAGGTGTTCCAGACACACAGGACAGAACAACAAAAGGATCCCGCATGGGGGGTAATGAGAGGGGTGAGACCTCCTCCTGGAAGTGGTGTCTAGCTGACCTCAGCAGCGAATACAATAGGTGGTGTTTATACATCAGGTCTCATTCTAAAAGGTTTACATGTATTAACTTGCCAAATATTTTTAACAACCCTATGATATAAGTACTGCAATTAAGCCCATTTTGTAAAACAGGAAACTGAGGCACAAAGAGGTTAAATAACCCGTCTAGGCTCATACTGCTGGAAAGTAAGCGACCAGGACTCAGACCCAGGCAGCCTGGATCAGGGGCCATGGGATTCGAGCAAGATGCCAAAACTGGAAATTGTCTCTGTAACACCTGTGAGCCTTGTGACTTACTGTCACCTGCAGGGCGTTGACAGGTCCACCATCAGCGCTACCAAGTTGACTTCTGCAGGAAATGAAACATGTCCTTTGTGACTTTGTAGAGAGCTGCGCTAACAAACAATTCTTACTTTCAGCTACCTCTTTTAAGTTAGGGTGACACCCATTCATACCCCATGGTGCCCTAGGGCTCATATGGAAATTAAGCCAAATAAGTCCAGGTCATATTATAACTATGCTATTGCAAACCTGGATTGTTGATGTCAGGTCAAATGAATAGTTTTACTGAGGATCCAGTGGGTATGTGAGGCAGTGCTAAGCACCTTAATGTGGAAATCTGAGGTCTGAGTTTTCTTCTCTGAGTCAGCAGGGACTAGAAACCATACAAAATCCAGACTTTCCCAAGGAAAAACTGCTGCGGGATTCCCGTCAAGGCCTCCCGTCTCTTCTCATCCCACATCCTGACCCCGTGCTCTTAGCTGTGTGCACTTTGCATCTGTCCTTCTAAATCAATTTTCTTCTGAGCAGAAACAGAAAGCCCCCAGGGAAGAAATAGCTGGAATCTTCCGGGCATTTTCTAGGATTGGATGGTTGAGGCTGCTTGGCGGAGATGACCACTATGGTCCTGGTGTCACGTAGGATCTGTTTATGGCCCTCCGGCGGGCCGTCTCCTTCCTCCTGTGGGGATGGCAGATGGCCTGTATTTTTAATAATTAAAAAAAAAGTCAGAGGGAAATCAGGCTCAGCAGGAGGAGTTTGGAGCCATCCAGGCAGCACGATTGAGCTGTGAATTTGTTTGGAAATTGGAAGTGTTATCTTCCCATTAAGCAGCCTGCAGCCTCAGCCCTTCCAGGAATCTGCAAGGGCCCTGTGTAATGATTTTCATCAGCAGGTCTCGGCCGGGGGTGGGAGATGGATGGGAGCCATTGGCTGACCCTGGCTACCTTGCACTCAGAGAACTGAACCTCCCAGGGGCCACGGCTGACAATCTGTGAAACCTTCACCACCTCCCCGCAATCTCCTCTTAGCCTCACAATAGCTCTGGGAGGCAGAGATGCCCAAATGATTATGCAAATCAGCCCGCCAAGAGCAGCTTTGGGTCATTTAGTGAAAAAGAGGAAATGTCCAGTCTAATGGGAAAGACAAAGCCCTCTAAGAAGACATGGCAGAGGTCCTAGGGCCTGTTGGATTATACTGTGGGGTATGGGACTAACTGTCCCTTCATTTGTTCTCCATTTGGTGGAAACCAGGAGGAGCAGAGGAGGAAGAGCTGTGCTAGGTGTCCAGAGCCCCAAGTTCCAATCGTGGCCTGATCCCTCCAGCCAGTGGCCTTCTCCTGGTCATCTTCCTCGTCTGGGTCTCAGTTTCTTTATTTGTATAAGAGCAAAACTGAATTCTACACCTGAAAGAGCTTGGAGAAGTAATCCTTCTTGTATGTGACCTGCGTCCCTGTGGAGGCACAGAAAGATCTCGGTAGCCGAGATAGCTGTAGACTGTGCGGAGGTGACCAGAGAAGCTGGGACACTTTGCTTTGGAAAGACTGTTTATTCATAAATAAATGTGGGCAACATGAAACGGTTGAGTAGGTTCAGATATGGGAGCCCTGAGGCCATCCTTTCATCCTAATGGACCACAAAAGAGCTGAGGCCCCAGAGAACGTTTACCAGACTCCCTGACCCCCATCAGCATCCTCCATCTCTTGCTTGATGCTGAGTCAGCTCTTCCTAGAAAGTGGGTAGAAACAACCCCGATCAGTGAGGGGCTGGCTGAGCAGAGGAGTAGTCTACACAGTGCCAGCTCTGCCCGTCTAGACACCAACGTGTCTCAGCACCTCCCGTTCTGGCAGGAAGGGCTGGGAATGAGCATTCCAGGGGCTGAGGGAGGAAAGAAAGCTCTCCCCCTCCGCCCCTCCCCTCCGTCTCTCCCTGCAGTGTTCTCGCCTGGTCAAGGCTAGGTCCCATTGACCAGCTGCCACCAGGGGTGGGGCAGCCCAGCAGATGGTGCGAGGCCAGGAGGGGGGTCAAGTCAGCCTGCAGCACAGATATAGCAGAGACTGAATTTGGGACGTTCTGTTCCAAAGTCTCCTGTTCTCTCCCTCTCCTCCCTCCATCTCTTCATTTTTCATGTAGCTTCCAGGCTCTTCTTTCCTTTCTTTTCCAGGCTCCCTCCTTCTTTCCCTCCCCACTTCTCTCCCTCTTTGACCAACACTTCCTTCTCATTTTCTTGAGCCTTGGCAGTGTTTGGCAAAGAAAGAGGGAAAAGCCAAAGTTAGAGATAGGACCCTTAATGCAGCCACAGTGTTAAGAGAAGGACGGCCAGAGTTTCTTGGCATCATGCCTTCCTGGCCAGAGAGCCATGGGTTAAAGGAGGCGCTCCCTGTTCATGGTGAAAAATGCAGCTGAGCTGCAGGCTGAGAGCAAAAATGTCAGCTCCGAGCAGTGGGGCCAAGGCCAGCGAGGCCTCAGATAGGTTATCTGCCCAGAGAAGGCCAAGGCGAAGCTCCAGTGCCCCAGGGCTTCATTCCAGATCACAGAGGGCCTGTCGCTCTGCACGCTCCAACCCTCCTACCATTTGTAGGGGAATGTGGCTCTGCCTGCGTGCACCCCTCCCTTATCCTCTCCTCTCTCTGAAAACTCCTTCTGTCAGGGCTCTGGCCTGGGAGAGGGGCAGAGCCTGAGGTCGAGGGTGTCTCTCTGTCTCCCCCTTTGGAGCCCTGGCCTTTGGGAGCTGTGGCAGTGCTAAGGGTGGTCTCAGATCTTTCACTAACTGTGACTTCAACCTCTCCTGGCTCTGCTTGCCCCCTCCCTTCTAGAACCCCACTCACAGGAGCTGGCTGCAGTCAGAACAGTTCCAGGCTCTTTCTCCGGGAATTGACTCTATTCCTAGTTCAGATCAAGAGGCTCAGAGATGCCCCTGCAGGGAAGGAAAAGAACAGGGATCCTTCCAAGGAGCCCAAAGCTCAGCAACTTCTACTGTTCCGGACTCCCCTACACTCACAGGTTCCAACCTGGATCCTAAAACTGCTCTGTCCGTAGAATGTTCTACAATTGTGGAAACGTTCTGTTATCTGCACTGGCCAACCCAGTAGCTATCGAACCTTGGAAAAGTGGCTAGTGTGACCTTAAGAACTGAATTTTTAATTTAATTTAATTTCAAGTAATTTAAATTTAAATAGCCATATGTGGCTAGGGGGTGCCATATCGGGCAGTTCTAAAACATTAGAGGATCCTGGGGAATAGAAGCCCCCCCTTAAGTGAATAGAGTGTTCAACAGAGCACTTTTACAAAAACCACTTCACTTAGTTCTTTTAACACACAGCTCCGCAGCTGGCACAAGTAAAGAGCTCCATCATGGGTTCTTTCTTTTAACCCACAAAGCAACAGTTGGATGGAAGTGCTATTATTATTCATATTCTACAGATGAGGAAGAGAGACACAGGGAGATTAAGGCGTTTGCCCAAAGTTGCACAGCTGGTCGGTGCTGGGACAGGATTTGCAAGTGGCCCACCTGACTCCAGAACTGTGTTTTAACCAGTACGCCCAATTTTACCAAAAATTCTAAGACTTGGGTTCTAATTCTGCCTCTGCCACCAACCAGCTCTGCGACCTTGGGTGAGTCATTTTTCCTTCTCTGGCTTCAGTTGGCTCCTCTGTGTAAGAAAGGGGTGAAAGTGTGTATCCTGGGGGTCCTCTTCAGCTCTGAGAGTTGATGATTCTACTTGATTCAGCCCAGACTGGGCCTCCGGGCTCCGTCTAAACGCACTCTGAGAGGGCCATTCTGTAGCTTGGGATCCCACGACCTTCTGTGACGACAGTGCAATGGAAAGAGGAGTTGCTTTCAGCTGAGGATGCTGAGGAAGTTCCAGGGCCAGGTGGCATTTGAAATAGGTCTTGAGAGAGGATAGGAAATGGGCAGTCAGAGATGGGGGGAAGCAGAGGGCACAGAGGCAAGATCACAGGCAAAATCCGGAGGGACAGCCTCTTCGGGGAAGGGGACACTTTGTGTTAGGGCTAGTCTTCTGAAGCCTCTTCTAGAATCCCACTTAAGCAATATTCCCCCCAAGAGCCAGGGAATAGCAGAAAACCTCAAAGAACAAAAAGCTAAGATGGAGATGTCTAATATTTGTTCTGCCCCTGCCAAGTATTCACTGCCTTCTCTCTTCTGAGCTGGCTCTACTATTTCTAGCTCCCTTCTTTCCACCAGCCAAGGGGTGAGTCCCTGGGGGTGGACAGCACATTGGGCATTTTCTGCTTAGCCTATGTGTCTTTCAACATGTCCTAGGGCACGGATCATCCACCCTGCCCTGTCTCCAGGCGCGCCCAAGCTGTCATCTAAAATCGCCCCGGCAGCATTCTTGGCCCTGATACCCCTACCCTGGGCTCTGGTTCCCAGGCTGTATTATTCCCTTGGAGTGGCCTCCACCCCCTTCTTGTTGGCAGATGCTGACACGGCCTGCCAGTATAGAAGTCAAATCGTGACTTCAGCTAGATCCTGTGAATTGGAGCCCATGCTTTACCCAGACAGAATAAGAGGCCCTTGAGAGCTCCACGTGTGCTGGGTACTACTGTGCACAGCCCTGCAGGTACCACCAGATGAACAAGTAAGGTCTCCCTTCAAGAAGTCCATGGCCCAGGAGAGTAGCTAAGATGCTCACCTCCAATGCCTAGATGCACAGTAGGTGACCCAAGTGGACCTGATGCAAGATGCCAGGGAACAGTGGGGATTAGCTGAATTAAGGTCTTGTCCATCTACATAGCTCTAACTTGTTACTACCGCACAAAAATGTGAGTAGAATGTGCTCGATGCTCCTTTTTGCAAAGAGAAGCTGGAATCTGGATTTTAATTTGAAATTTCCCAATTTTCAAAAATGGCACGCTGGCCAAATAAAATTCATCTGTGGGTGAAAAACATTCCCATTTCTCTCTTATGCACTGGCACATTCCCGAAGACGTGTTTGTTGAGGGGTTGAAGAAAGGAAGGAATGAGATGAGCTGGCCCCTGGAAGTTGCTGCCCCTAATTTGTGCACATGTTGGTTGTTATGCTGTTTTCCATCTTCATTGTGGGCCTGGGCCTTGTTTGTATCCGTGCAATTAACCAGAAAATTATCCCCTTGGAACATCAATCACAAAGACGAAGTCAACACAAGAGTGATGGACACGTGTGTATCTGCTGCTCTGGGGCTTTTGATGGCGTGGATTCCTTCTGTGCTCTCTCTCCTTTGCACCCAGGGGCAGAAAAGGACACTGGTAAATATTTTTCCTAGCTCGTGAAGCCTAAAGTTTCTAGGCCAAGGCAAAGTTGAGAACAGAGCTTAGGACTCCCCAAAACTCTCCACCTCACAAACACATGAACACACCAGCATTTACTTTGTGTGAAATGCACATCTTTATGCTATTGGTTGTGCATTCAGTGCTCCTATGAGTGTGTAGGTACATATGTATATTGTGTTGTATTCTTGGCAGGTGTATTAGTCAGTGTTCTCCAGAGAAACAAAACCAATAGGATGTATGTATGTATGTGTATATATATACATACACACATACACATACATGTGGACACAAATATATACATGTATACATATACATATATACAATCATGTACATATACACATACATAAGTACATATATATGGAGAGAGAGAGAGAGAGATTTTAAGGAGTTGGCGCATGCAATTGTTGGGGGCTAGCAAGTCTGAAATCTGCAGGGAAGGACAGCAGGCTGGAGACCCAGGGTAGAGTTAATGTTGTAGTCTTGAGTTGGAAGGCAGCCTGGAGGCAAAATTCCTTCCACTTTCAAGGATCTAAATATTTTCTCTTAAGGTCTTCAACTAATTAGATAAGGCCCACCCACATATGGAGGGTAATGGAGGGTAATTTACTTTACTCAGTCTACTGATTTAAATGTTAATCTTACCACATCTTCACAGCAATATCGAAACTGGTGTTTGACCAAACGACTGGGTTCCATAGCCTAACCAAGCTGACACATACAATTAACCATCACAGCAGAGTTACCTTCTCAGATTGAATTCTGTCAAAGTATTCTAAACAACACAAGAAGCAAACTGATGCCTGAGAAAGGCTGTTGGATGGCTGTGGCCAATGGTCATCAAGACAACTGTCCAGATGATGGTCTCTTCGGTGTCATTTCATTCTCTTGGTTTTTTTGGTCATCTAAGCTATCAAACAATCACAAATTGATTGAATGATTAGCTTAAACTGAAGTAGCAAAGAGGTTCCATTTTCTGTGACAGTTCTGATCAACTGTTGGTGGCTGCTTGGTGTGATAAATTGTAAAGAAGCCCGAGGCTGACCTCAGTGGGAAAGAGTGTTGTGTTTAATTATCCATGTCTGCAGTGGGGACAGACACGGGAGTGGTGGTGTATGTGCTTCCTGTTTGTCATCCACGATTGAGACCAAATATTCATTAAAGAAGAAGGGGAAGTTCAGAGAGGAGAACTTATTCATGTGAGCTCACGCAACAAACAAATGTCAGCTTGACGATGGGAAACTAGGAGTTAGGGGTCTTACCTCATGGTGTAGAATTTCCCTACCAAATAAGGAATATCTAATGTACATGTATCAAGAGACTAATTATCCAAAAAATTTTCTCATTTCCTTTATGGTTTATTTTTTTTATTAGAAAAAGTTTTATCTCTCCTAAAGGAAGTCCATGTATCACAGAACTATTGAACTACATTCTAAATTTGGACCTCCAAATTTTCCTTTCATGTATTTTCATTTTACTAAGCCTCACTAAAATTTTATAATCTAACCATGACGTCCGATATGGTAGCCACTAGCTCCATGTGGCTACTAAGTACTTGAAATGAAGCTAGTGTAACTGAATTTTAAATGTTATTTAAGTAAAAATTTAAATTTAAATAGCCACATGTAACTAGTAGCTACCTTCTTGGATAGCACAGAAATAGAACATTTCAATCATCTCAGAGAGTTCTAGTGAACAGCACTAACCTAAACAAATATCCAATTTGTTTTTTCTTTCTTAGCCTTTTCTGTTCCTACTAGCCTGACTTTTCAGACTTGACATAAATAAGATTTTTTTTGTAGCTCAATTCCCAATTTCTTTTGACCATTTCCTGTTTTATTTTATTTAATTTTTTTTTAAGCCTCCTCTTTGTTTGTGTCCAAACCAGGGCTAAGCTTGAGGTAGGATCTGAAGAGATAGGTTGTAGGCAGCCCTTTCTGTTTGGGGCAGGGACTGGAAAAGCAGGGATGCTGATGTTGGTGGGGAGGGAGCCTTTGGGAAGACCAGCAAGGCCAAGGCATGTGGGCCAGCCAAGCTGAATTTTTGTATCTTCCTGGTTTTAAAATGCTAGATCTTAATTCCTGTTGTATCCACTTCTATACTTCTTTGTTTAACTTTCTTGATTCTTTTTGTCTCTCCCTAAGTCTGCTCAAGCTTTAACAGTCTCCCCTTATTATTTATCCACTATTCTTCAGAACTCAGCTTTGATATAAGGAAAGGGCTTCTTTCTCTGAAATCTGACTATTCTATCCTAACTTTTCTTTGTGAAATTGACCACTGCCTCTCAGTGCAATATTTTAAGAACACAATCTTTCAACTCCAGCTTTGCGACTCCTACCTGGATGATTGATATAAAGCATATTACTTAACCTCCCTTTGCCTCGGTTTCCTTGTTTGTAAAATGAGGGGGATACTCATAACAGGACCTATCTCCTAGGTTGTTGGGTGGGTTAAGTGCATAGTGCTTAGAAGCCTGCCTGGCATCAGCAGGTCTTATGTGAACACTGGGTAGAATTGCTGCTGCAGGGGCTATATACTTGTTTCTCTCCCCCAACAGACTGTAAACTCCTCGAGGGCAAGGACTCAGCAAAATGCCCAGCAGGTGGTAGGACTTCCATAAATATTTGCTTAATGAACAAGAGAGTGAATCGCTGGGGTCAGATAATCACTTCCCATTTCTTTCAACTGTTCCTGAGTGAACTTTCAGATCAGCTCTAAACTCCACTCCTGGCTTCTGCTGCTCGCTGCCTCCTGTATCTTTTGACTCTTCTATGTCTGTTTATTTTCCTTTTCTGAGTCCCTCTGCTGATGGGGTACTTTAGGGGTTATTGAATCCAGTTCCCTATTTTCAGCGACTTCTGACACCCATTCAACTTCTGCTCCAGCTTGGAAGCTAGGCCTGGGGAAAACATCCAACACAAAGACTAAAAATTCCCCAAACAAGAATTCTCTCTCCCTTTAGGAAAGTCCCAGGGTGGCAGACATGAGGGCATTGGTCTGTCTTCCATGACGTATTCCCTGGGCACTAGGGCAAGGAAGTGGGTGGGTAAGAGGAGATGGTGTCATTGTCCCCACCTTGAGGGATTTTCGTGGAGGTCACTCCTTCCTGCCATCTTGGCTGTGATTATGTGAACCTAAAAACAGCCTTGCCTTCTGGGTTTTATCATGCAGCCTGCCTCTCTTTCCTCCCATCTCCTCTCTTGGCACAGAGGTAGTTTTGCCCTGTTTTTCACCCTTTCTGAAATATAAATCCCATTGCATCATGGTGCACCAACCAACAGCTTGTCCAAGCCAGGAACTTAGCGACCATGGCAGCTTCTTAAATTCTCCAGAGGTCTGTTCCAGAGACACATTCATAACTGTCTAGCACCAATGTGGCCTTTAAGATGCAGTGTGAAGGAGGAATCCTATCAACCCACAGCCCTCTGGGGTCAATGTCCAAACCATCCCTCGGCTTGCCTGGTAGCTCCACAGAGCACGACTCTAACGAATTACAACTTCCCTTCAGATCCCTTCCCATAAGTCCTCCCTAGCTGCCTCCCTTTCCCCACCTGTCTAGTGTCCCCATTTTCCTCCTGGAAGACACAGTTCTGACATCAGAGTGTCTCTAAAGAGTGAATAGCCAGAGGGAAGTCATGCCTGATACTTGGTTAGATGGCAAGTCAGGTGTGGGCTTGACTTGGCACCAGAGGCTGCCTTCTTGGCCCGAACGGGGCCATCTGGCTCAGGTGCCCGCTCTGAGGGTCCCTTTCACTTCTAAGAATTAAAGCCAGAACGTCAGAAATATTAGATATTTTTTCTCTCTTTCTTCCTTCCTTCCTTGCTTCCTCCCTCCCTCCCTCCCTTTCTTCTTTCCTTCCTTCCTCCCTCCCTTCCTTCCTTCCCTCTTTTTCTTTCATTCTTTCACTCTTTCTCTCTTCTTCTCTTCCTCTCTCTCTCATTCTTTCTCTCTCTCTTTCTCTCTCTCTTTCCCTCCCTTTTTCCCTCGCTTCCTTCCTTCCTTCCATCTTTTGTTTCTTCCTGCCTTCTTGCCTTCCTGCCATCCTTTTTTCCCTCCTTCCACAATTATTTATTGCCTGGTTCTCATGTACCAGACAGGTTCCTAAGAAACAAAATAAAATATTTAAATAGTCTCAATTCTTGTTTTCTAGAACTTACATTAGAGTGGAAGGGACATACTCATAAGCAGGTAACTATAAATGAACATGAAAAGTGCAACCATTGGAATAGTCATGGGCGCTGAGGGAGTCCAGAGCGGGGCCTAAGGCAGGCTGTGCAGAGGGCATTTGGCTTAAAGGAAAAGTGGTTCCCAAACCCTTCCCAAATCTGCAGGTCCATGCCATCCTGCTTAATTTTTCACAGGTCAGAAGAGAAATGAGAAAAATATGTACAATGTAGTATGAGTGTATGAATTCACATTTTTTGGACAATATTATCTTTATTCTGAGATGCCGTG